CTGAGCCAATGCTCCACGAAGTTCTACAATCACAGTATCATTCCCAATATGATTACCACGTATAGAAGCCATCAATGACATGGAGGCATAACAATATCCAAACAACTCACATATAAGGACTCACGGTCATGCTAGACCCCAATGTATAGGAACTCGTCACCATGCCTATACACCGTACTCGATCATTTAGCAATTAGCAAACAAGACTCGACTCCTATTCCCTCAAGCTAGGGTTAAACCAAACACTTACCTCAACTTCTGCGGCCAATACAATCCTCCACAATTGCTTTCCCTCTCGAATTCGGCTCCAACTCGACCAAATCTATGCAATAAGGACTTCATGATATCAATATATGCTAAACAAATCCAACCCAATGACTAATTATAGCTTTTTCATCAATTTACCCCAAAAGGTCAAAAATGCCCCCGGGCTCACATGGTCAAAACCCGAGATTCGAACCAAAACCCGTTTACCCATTCCCCCAAGAACTCAAATATGAAAGTTATTTTGGAATCGGACCCCGAATTGAGGTCCAAAACCCCCAATTTTAGAAAAACCTAGGTTCTACCCTAAATTCCCAAGTTCCCCATTAAAATCTTTGTTTTGAAGTTGAAATTATGTTTAAGGATGTTAAGGAGTAAAGAAAATCAGTTAGAAAACACTTACCAATCATTTTGAAGAAGAAGAATCGTTTGGAAAATCGCCTCTTATGTTTTGGGTTTTGAAAAAGTGTAAAATGACTGAAAATCCCAGATTTATATACTTTGCTGGAGGACTGGCGCGGTCCGCGCAAAAATGCCCCGCGGCCGCGCCGAGGAAGGGAGGGAAAACAACTCTCGGAACCTACCCAGCGCGGACCGCACGATTTTGGTGCGCGGCCGCGCTGGTGTCTTGCACCTGGGGTCTTCTCTGAATCTCCCAGCGCGGACCGCACGAACTTGGTGCGCGGCCGAGCTGGTCAAACCAAGGCTGAGGACCCCTCTGAAACTGGCCACGCGGACCGCGCGGACTGCACCGCGGCCGCGTGGCTTCCAGCGCGGACCGCGCGGGAATGACTGCGGCCGCGCTGGGGCCTGCAACACTGCAACAGCTGCTACTTTAAGCCTAAGGCCTCCCGGGACCTACTCAAAACTCACCCGAGCCCTCGGGGCTACAACCAAGCATACACACTAACTCAATAACATCCTACGGACTCATCCGTGCGATCAAATCGCCCAAACAACATCATAAGCATCAAATTAGGCCTCAAGACCGAGGATTTCCTTCCTATTTTCATAAAACATCAAGTTTACTGCTTCAAGCTCAAAACACGTCAAATGACGTCCAAATCTTACCAAACTTTACAGCAATTGCTTAAATCATATTTAAGACTTGTGCCGGGCATCGGAACCAAAATACGAGCCCGACAGCACAGTCTTCAAAACATGTAACACTTTTAAATTCTTTAATTATTTTCAGAAAACAATTTTTCTCACAAATTTCATATTTAAACTTTTCCGGCTACGCGCCCGGACTGCGCACACAACTCGAGGCAACCTCAAATGAGGTTTCCAGGGCTTCAGAAGTACAGAGGGAGTTGAAATACAGGTGATGACCCTTTGGGTCGTCACAGCTTCTATATGTATATTGTTATACATTATATTCCAGATTATTTGGTCTCATACTTTTATTTCATTTTTTAAATGAGAACGAACAGATAATATAAATGTGAATAATAAATAAGTACAAGTCTTTTTTATAGTGTAACTTAATTCCTTTTTAAGGAAATTAATGCTTGAGGTACGTGATTATGGGTACATGATTTAAGCTATCTGCCAGGGAATGTATTTATTTAATTGCCACATGTGTAAAATACCTTCTGCTGTTAGGTTTGTGAAGTTTTTTCTTAAATTTTGCCTATTTATATTTTTTCCTACTTTTTTTACGGTCAAATTATAAATCGAATTTAAGACTACATTTTGTCAAGTTTTGCACTATTATTCAGTTTACTATATTGGATGCCGAGCGAGTTCTCGGTTTACTTTTTCTAACCAGTACACACAGATTATATACGATTAGACACATATTATATACTCCATTAAATTATGTATATTTTATCTACCTATTAAGATTTAATTTAAACGGTTGGGTGAGCGGGTCTCTGGGTCTTTCGATTAATATTTTTACCAATATGTACTACATTAGAAACTTATTTACCCTCAATGTTTAAAATAGGTTTTAACTTAATTACAAGTTGATATACAATTGACCAATTATATACAATTTAGTATTAATGAGTATCCCATTATATTAGGAATTGAATTGGGAATTCCCTCTCTCTCTCTCTCTCTCTCTCTCTCTCTCTCTCTCTCTCTCTCTTAGTATTCTTATATTAATATCTTCATGTGGATTAACTAAAGAAATGATACTAGTGTTAAGTGGAAAAAAGAGAGACGATTAGTACCTAGGAAAGNGGCACTCAATAAATCATCTTGCTAAACCAGTTGTGATGTAAACCAACTTATCAAGATAAACTATCTTGAATAGGAAATCTGGAAATTATGCTCGAAATTAAATTAGTGAGCAAGTTACCTCGCAAACACCGGCCAGGTTGCGGGTTAATAATAATCGCACATGTAACCATCTCATAGATGCATCTTATGTGGTATACATGGCAGGTGAATGGGCCCATATTCACCTTTGATATTTCCAGTATTCATGGATTCAATCCCAATTTTAGTTGGTATATTAATTAATGAGAACATGCAACATAAGAGAATTCGTAAAGAACTTTCTAGTTCTTTAATATTTACCCATGTGAATTCTCTTTTATTTTTGCACATCATACTTAAATTGATATGGCTAAACTAATTATGCCAACTGAATAAATTATCAATATTGATAAAGTTCAGGTTTACACCATGACATGTGCAATTATCAATAAACTCCAAGTTTATTATGATATGGGTTTTAATATCAATAAACATCCACTTTATTGTGGTATTCTTTTATTTGTGTAGTACAAACTGGAGAATAAAGCGGGTACCTTTTCACATATATATTACCCAGCTATAAGTTGTAGTAATAGAAGATATTAAATCTTTCCTTTATTTATAGTCTCAATATAACCAACCGCTTTCGCGAATACTTTAGAAACTAAATAAGTTTCTTTGAGACTTACAACGACAATTTTATTTCTCCAAAACAGTAATAATTGGCTCTTCCAGAGCTCTCAATTAATTTGGTACTACCACATATTCATCAACATCAATATGGTGAATATCTCTTTTAAAGAGAAAGTTATACCATTATGGTTATGGTCAAAATTATATGCAAGTTCTGTTTCTTGCATTATCGCTGTCTTTTAATAATCACAATGCCAAAATATTTTGGCGTACAATAAGTACGTGACCAATGACCATTTATGCCATAATAATGACATTATTTTCTTATTTCCTCTCAAACCTCCTTCTAGAGGTGAGTGCGGTATATTCACTACCACTAGCACGTTCATATTCTTTCAAGAATGAATATGTATTCATAAATAAGATGTTGTCACATTCACATCATGAATGGACCATAATCATCTATATGTGCTTTACAAAATCTCATGTCAAATCGATGACAAATATTTTTCACAGAGTGAAAGATTATTTTAAGAATCCTTATTGTTCTCATTACCACAAATGATGACGATTATAATTTCGTCTATTGCCACGTCCATATCCATTGATACATTCATAATAATAATTTTGTCTTCTTTCAGACTTGTCACATACTGCTATCACATTCTTTTAAGGGAATGAGAATGGAGCAAATTCAATGGGACGGGTTTTCAATTCTTTGCCCACAATCATACATGAATTTGATCATGGCGAGGCATAGAAATTTTACCACTTCAGGTGGTTATAATTTCATACAAACTCCATTAGGGTTATAATCAAACTTTGTTGTCTTTGCTTGTATCTAAATCAAAGTATAGAATAAAAGAGAAAAATACAGTAAAATACTTACCTTAAATCCAGAATTTAATTATGAATAAAGTTCATGGAACAATTGACAATCATTATGCTCAATCCCAAAGCTTCTACTCAATTGGTTAGAGTCTCGTGCTGATAACGTACTATGAACAATAAAAGAAGAAGAGTATTGCAGAGAAAAGTAGAGAGATAGAATTCTTATTGCTTTTTGGGATGAATTACAATGGAATAGAACCCTCTATTTATAGGGAGAGGGTGACTTAGCCACCAAGTAATAAACCCTAGAATCTCTCTAAATATAGATATTCACCATAAATAAAATTCTATTTATAACATATTGCATGTTTTACAAATTAATATATATTTCATGTTACACTGCCTTCATAAAAAAAGAAAAAAAAGGAAATGGAGCTGAGATGGACCAGTGTAAGAAATCCGGGCAATCTAAGAATTATCTATAAAGTAGGGGGTGCAAAAGTGCAATTTTCTCAAACTTAAACATCCTCTGATATCGTCTTCCAACTCTTAACACTGATTCAGAATCCCAACCCAAACCAATAAATTCCTCACAATTTGATACTTCAAATTTTAAGCAACAGAATGCTTAAATTTTGTAGCCATTGATCAGCCTAGAAATATAGCAGCAGAGTTCTTTCGAGTTTTTTTTTAAAGAAAAAAATGGTGAACAGAGGCCATAGGACAACAAGAAGAACATCTCATTTCTCAATCACTCTCTACATTTTCCTCCTCTTTGTTTTCTCAATATTCGTTTTCTTTTTGTACTCTAAAGATATATCAGAAGATGAGCAAAAGCCTCTCGTAGTATCGGAGAAGAAGGAGCCCGAATCCGAAGAGGTCTGTTAATTACTTATTTATTCATTTATTTGTATTTGTGAATTGTGATATGTGCTATTTTTTGTAATTTGGCCTAGAAAGTATCTGGATAATTTGTTAAATTTCTGAGAATTTTAGCTTCTTATTTGGATTGAAATTGGTGGTCAGCATTTTGGAGCTAAATTACATTTGGTTGACACAGGAAAACAAAATATGATAATAATAATAATAATAGAGATAGAGGCACAAGGATTTACTCTGATTAGTAATCAAGTTGAAAATCAACTTATTTAAAATTGAATCAAGTTGCTAGCCAACTTTCTGCCAGTCAACTTACCCTAAGTCGCAGTTGATGTTGCAAGCTAACTTAGTGTTGTTTTGTTCAGATTACGTTACTGCAGAAACTTTAAGACTTAGAAACTCTTACCTGTCTCTGTGAAAATTCTTTAGTTTCTCAGTTGTTTTCGCTATGCTTGCGGTATGGGATACTTTTGAAATGCTTTCTCCTGAGTTTGTTATCGTGCGACTCGTTATAAAAAATGGAAATTTGCTATCATCCTACTTAATGCTTTTGTGGATTGACATAGTTCTTGGACCTCCTAGTTTAACATGGGTAAACGATATAAAAAAAAAAAAAACAAGGCAAAATCGGCAAATTGTCAACTTAAAGAGGCCTAGTGGTGATAACCTAATATAGAACTGAAATTGGTAGTATGTAAATAGGCCTTGTGGCAGATATGCTTATCTTTTGTCTTCACATTTCAATTTGGTAAGAGCTTTCTGATTCAGTATTTGCTTGCTTTCCTTGGCACAACACAACAAGAAATTTGAATTATCAAGAAGAAAGTGTAGGGGCAAGAAAGGCAATGAATATTCAATCAATCAGTTACACCTCAATTCCAAATTTATTATGATGAGCTGGATGAATAGTTTTAATCCATTGTGTTCAGTATTCAGAGGATTCATCATGATTAAACTAATTTTTTGCTGGCCATCGACCTATCACAATTCTTTTTTATCCAACAATATGTTGGATAAATTTCAAGTTTTATTTCTGTTTGTTATATGAAGTGAAATTTCAATTTGTTTTAAGAAAAAAGAAAGAAAAAAGAGACGACATTAGTGATAGTAAAAAAGGGCTTTAGTTCCTAAAAATTTTCAAATGATAGGATGAGCTTTACTCCTTAAATTTTTATGAAATAGTGTGAACATGTTTTGGTACCTTAAAAGGTAAAATAAGTGCCGTGTGTGTGATCCTTTATTTTGTATACGCGAAATACATAAACGACCCCTTTATTTTGCAGGTTCTCTTTTTTTGGTATACGGCTTGTACACGGGGTTAATCCCTAATTTTTAATAAAATTATTTACCTTATCAAAAAAAAGTTATCTTCAACGATCTGATGGATAAGTTAAATACTTCAAGTGGCTATTAAGTGTACCAAGTAAACACCCGGGTGCAGCAAAACATATGCGTGTGTTACACTTTCCAATGACATATCAAATGGACCAATTAAAGAACAACATGAATAATTTGTAATAATTAAAACAAAAGCAACCAAAAAATTAATCCAAACTTCCGGCGAGTTCCAGGCCGGCAGAAATGGAGTCTTACCGGACTGACCAAAAATTTGAATTGACAGAGCTCCTACAACCCAAGTACACAAGAGATTACACAAGCAAAAGCTCTCTGATCTCGTCAATGCCTACATGTCATTGCCAAATTTTCTTGGTGGATATATAAATGCTCATTAACAGAAAAACTACATACACAAATGAGGCGAGCTAAGATGAATACATCATAATATCTCCACAAATAAATAACTTATCCAGTAGAAATAACAACAAATTGGAAATAGAAAAATTAAATCAACAGCGGTCAAGCCCGTAAAGGTTAGAGATTTAAAGCATCAAAGCAGCAGCAGACAGCTACAACAGCAGATCCGGCGACAACGACTCTGTTCCTCGCCGACAAGTCCCCCACTGTCACCTTCAGTTCCCACCAATTAATCCTCTTTCAAATCTATTTTCCTTTTCTTTATACCTTATAATCAGACACTGTGAGAGTGATTAGATGACAAAACTTGATTTCATAAATGACAAAAATTGATTTCATAACTTATAATCGAAGGTGAAAAAATTGAAGGAGAAAGTGTGAAAATGAAGGTAAGTGGGATTCACATAAAGTCAGGTTAATTTTAAAAAAGAAAAAGAAAAAAACTTAATTTTAAGGGTTTCACGCGCTCAAATGTTAATATAAAGCACACACTTTGCCATGTCAGCGTGAGGGGTTCACGAGGTCGCACTTCAGTCGGGAAGAAGTGTGTAATTAGTAATACGGTCAGTTGAGGTGTCTATTTGGTCGTTGTGGACAACATATAGCCATAAAGGGGCCATTTATGTATTTCACCTTTTGTATATTTGTGGCTTGTCTTAATTGTACTTGTTTAAGTGCTTCCTGCAAAATAAGCAATTGAAGAATGTATATTTGTGGCTTGTCTTAATTGTACTTGTTTAAGTGCTTCCTGCAAAATAAGCAATTGAAGAATGATAAGGAGCCTTTTGGAAAAGAAAGGAAAATAACAAGTTTATGTCATGCTATTGGTTTTTATATCTCTCTTCCATTTTTATGATTTTTCTTTGTACTGGGATAGTTGCTGAGAAATTTCGTTTCAGGATTCATCAGCATTATAGTAGCTAGATATTTCAAGTATACATGTTTGTCGTTCTAAGGAATAAGTTTTTAATTTGTTTCCACATGTATTTTGCTCTAGGATTGTTTCGTCCTTTTCCCGTGCTTATGAGTTTTATTTCTTTTAGGGTCAACCCTATTCAACTTATTTCTTCCAACTTATACAAGAGCAAATATGTAAGTTATGTACTTTGTATAACAGATAAATTAGAATCTTAAGGAATATTTTTCATTTGTCCTTGGTGTAACTTGTCCGGCCAGTTTGAAAATGTTTGGAGTTGTCTGCGTAGTGTTTTGGTGTCTTGCTTGCATCAGTGACTAGCTCTCATAATGATAATTGTTATAGACTCCTGATAGTGAGAATGTCTCCTGTCTTTTGCAGAATGCAGATAATTCTGTCTGGGAAGCTTCACACAGCCATGGTTTACATTCATGCGTCAAGCCAACTGTGAGATATAAAGGTTAAACTCTATTAGAATAGCTTGTGCTTCATCTGCTACCTGCAACTTAAACTGGAAATAGTATCTCCATTTCCTTTTGGGAGCACTAATGCTTTTCTATGTTCTATAAAGGAGATACTCATCTGGATTTTCTCAAGATCTCGATTTTCCTGATTTTTCTTTTTTGGGGGAGGGGGTGTTCATAGTTATTTTGGGAAACAATTTCTTTTCTATCTACTCTTATGGTGCTATCAGTTCATGCATGTGCTGATTCAAAGCTGAAACAGCAGATTTCTTGGTCATAAAAGAAAAATATCATGCCTGCTGTTTCCTCTGCTTTCTCTATCTCAATCTCCTTGACTTGTACCCTATGTTGCTCGGACTCTCCAAAAATATCGCCGGGTGCGTGCCGGATCCTCCAAAGGTAGTACATTTTTTAAGGATCCGACACGGGTGTGGCAACATTTTGGAGAGTCCGCGCAACATAGCCTGTACCACCTCAGGCACAATATGAAATTTTTATGTGCCACAACTTTTTCCGCTCGAAAGTCTTATGCAGAATTTATTCTTCTTGTCCAGCTGCTCTAGGATGGACTCGCTACTTAACTGTAAAAAGTAATGGGGGATTAAATCAAATGAGGACGGGTGTAAGTTCATCTTTTTTTTTTTTTTTTTGATTTCTATTTTCCGTTTTCTGTATGTTACATAATCATTCTTGTTTTTTTTCCTGATAAGGTAGATGATTTTATTAAAAGAAGTATACGGAACAAAGAGAACCTACACCGAAATATGGTTCTCAACTAAGGAAACCAAATCATCTATACAAATAGACACCTCATAGGTACACCAAAAATAAACTACAGAAAAAAAGACTATTTTGCAACTCTACAACGTCTAGCTCACCCCCTTCAAAATCTGCTATTTCTCTCTTTCCATATCACCCACATAACGGCTAGAGGTGCAAACTTCGACGCCCTTGGACTTCTCTTCCCACTCTTGTAGACCCAACTGTGCAACACATAATCATCTTGTTTTAAACCACAAATTTCAATGGAATAGCTTTTGTTCTACTCGGGCTATGGTTAAACAAGCTAAACATTTTGAATTAGCCCAACTTGGAAATGCTAGTGGACATGTGGTAGCTTGTATATGATTCTGCGCAGATTCCTGGGGTATCATTTAACATGTTGACATGATTGAAGATGAGCTATTAAGAAGCCTTCAGCTTGGAAATGTGGTTCCTTAAAAAGTCTATTCACAGTTTTGGAGTGAATTATATGTTAGGAAGTAGCATCCATAGATAAAGGGAGAAGAGAAGTTAACAAGAAAAAGCAGTCTCATACGAAGTTGTGGGCAAAATAGCTGAATAAATTCTATATTGGCTTTGGCTAAAATAGCTGAGTAGAAGATAAGACAAAGCCTGGCATGATTGGTAGGAGAATTTAGTTTTTATTGGAGAAGTACAGCTGGAAAATGATATAAGATTTACTCTTTGGTGAAAGATATAGTGTCACCTGAATTACTAAGAGCTAGTGTTCCATAAGCTTCTAAGTTTTGCTAATTTGCTGTTTCGTTGATAAGACGATTATGCCATGACTTGTAGAGAGCTGACTTGCGAATTTTTCATGCTGTTGATTGTGGATGTGGTCACATCTCATTATTGAAATATCATTGTGGTCATGCCCATTTTTTAAGCAAATATGTCTCCACATATTTGTATGTTGATGAATTTTTCCCTTCAGTCTTAATTTGTCAATTTGCTTTTTCTTTTTTTTTTACTTGCAGATAGCTGACATGGTGGCAGTGGCACACGTAATGAATGCAACTTTGGTAATTCCTCAATTGGACAAGCGATCGTTCTGGCAAGATTCAAGGTCATATTTTGTTCTCTACTGTGTCTCTCACAACTTTACATTGCTTGTCATTCTTTCAGAAATGTTTTATACATTGCCTGAGACTGTTTGTGGCCTTTTCTTGTTTCTTCTAGAATGCTGATGAGTGCTTTAATCTCTAGCAATTCTTTTTTATTTTCACTTTATCTAAACATACTTACTCTTGTTTGTTCTAATGGGCTAATTTACAGTACATTTTCAGATATATTTGATGAGAACCATTTCATTGAAACATTACAAGGGGACCTCAGGATTATTAAAGAGCTTCCCAAAGAAATAGAATCATTACCTCGAGCTAGGAAGCACTTTACGTCATGGTCAGGAGTGGGTTACTATGAAGAAATGACGCAATTGTGGAAGGAGCATCAGGCATGTAAATCTTATTCCTATCACCTTCTTCTTAGAAGTAGATTATCATAATCTCTCTCTTGAAATGGACCCAAAACAAGAAATTATTGCTACCTTGTTGCCCTTGCTTGCTGTCAAGGGAAATTGTTAATATTTAAATGGACGACCATGGAACATGATGTCGTTGGTGAAGTTATTATGATAATGTGTTCTCTAGCTGAACTGTATTATATATCTATATGCTCAACATGTTAGTAGTGTTCATGGTGGTCGTAGTGAATCAGTTTTTCTTGTTGCACCAAGTAAGATAGTGTCTCTTTCCAAACAACATTTACACAATAAACCCTCTGATTTTTATATGAAAGTATTAAATAATATGATAAATAACCTTCGGTTATGTTATTCAATTCAATGGAAAATAAGGGACATCTTCACCCATTATTAGCAGAAAATAAAAAACTTCGAGTGTATTATATCACTGCCAATGCTTGACTCCAGGTGGTGCTAACATATGGATGCATTACTACCAAAAACTTGTGAATATTTATCAGTCCGATTCCTTGTTGTACATGGAAGACTATTATTGACCATTGGAATTTATTAGGCAAGAAAAAATTAACTGCCTTTTCAATAGTCAGTTATTAAAGCCCTTCTAAAAGTATCAGCTACTATGAGATGTCAGAGAGATGACATTTAATCCCAAAATTTATCAAATCCTGGAGCGGATTTGAATTGTCGTTTTATTAACTTTATCAGTTTATTATGTTGATATTATCAATATAATCCATAATCAAAGAGTCTCCATTTCCATTTCCTTTTGTTCGGGGGACTTGATCCTAATTTTCTCTTGTCTTCTCTAGCAAATTATATGTCTGAAATTGAAAATTGGCTTATTGCATCTTAATTGCAGGTAATTCATGTTGCTAAATCTGATTCTCGCCTTGCAAACAATGAACTGCCTCTTGATATTCAGAGATTAAGATGTCGTGCTCTATATAATGCTCTCCGCTTCTCTCCTCCTATTGAGAGACTTGGAAAGGTTAGAACAATCATTGAGAAATTTGCTTACAGTTTTGGTATAGTTGTTCTGGTCACACCAGAAACACTTATTCCCTTCGTTTCAATTTATATGATAGACTTTCCTTATTTCTCCCTTTTAAGAAAAATGAAACATTTATATATTTGGCGATAATCTAACTTTAAACTTTCAATTTTACCCATTTCTCCCTTTATGAAAAGCTTTTATAGCCGCACAAATGTTGTGGCCCCACAAAGCTTTTACCCTTTAACCTTCAAGACCACAAGTTTCAAAAATCTTCTTTTTCCCCCCTTTAAATTCCGTGCCAAGTCAAACTGCGTCATATAAACTGAAACGGAGGGGGTATGTAGTTTTGCGATTCCCTTTTGGATAGTCACACTACGTTGAATCTTTTTGTTGGCTATGGTATTTCCACTAAATTTTTTAGTGTCCAGATCTACTTGATTAAGAATGGCATTCAAATTATGAAATAAATATGCTGTAATATTAGGTGTAGGATTCTCATGCCTCTTTATGCTGGCAAAGTGGTTAAAAGAAAACAGTTATCTACCCATATTATCATTAAAAGTGGGTTGGATAATGAACCTTTTATAAACAGGTCATATATGTATAAGAACCATATTATCCACTTAGAAAATGGATAACCAATGGATAACTAATGGGTTTAACTTTTACATTTGTAATGCCTCAAATTAGGGGTTCCTCAAGTTTGGGAGGCTAGGAATTCTCCCAAAAGTGATCATATTCAAGAAGCCATGGATAATATGGATATTCATATTTTCCACCGGTTAACCTGTTTTTTATCCGTATTAAATATGTGTCGGGTCGGATAATGTATCCGTTTTTGCATTACCCGTTTTTGACCCGCCCACATCCGATCCGATCCACTTGTTTGCCACCCTAAATTCAAGTTTATCTACATCCTTTTATGTTTTGGATCTCATTTGTAAGGTCTCCAACTAGAATTCCTCATTAATTAGGGTTTCGTAATACATGATGATGATGATACTACAGAAGCTTGTGGACCGGCTCCGAACAAGAGCAAATAGATATGTTGCACTCCATTTGAGATATGAGAAGGACATGCTGTCTTTTACTGGCTGTACGTACGGTCTTACTGATGCAGAAGCAGAGGAGCTCCGGGTGATGAGGTTATCTATAACTCTCTCATTATCACTATCATATTTTGTCATGATTTTCCTATAATGTATGCCTTAAATTAAGCTCGTTGTATTAATGATTATCTGCATGAAGGAGGGCTAAACCACCTTTCTTCGATCTGTTTATTTTTCTGAGCCCAATGAGATTATTGCGTCTCAATCATAGCGTGTAGGTTATTTAGGAGCGGCAAGTTCCTTGATCACAAGTTTATACATACAGGTTGTGAAAGAATCTGAGCATCCAACCCAAAACCTAAGGCAATGGATGGAGTGGCCTAAGGCTTTATAAACCCCTTTGGAAACTCTTACATAACAGATGAGGGGCAAGTGTATTATTTAACACCTTCCTGCATGTGTAACCCCGTTGTTGCGTTACCGTGCACTGAAATTTGTCCTTTTTTTGTTGAGAAGATTTAAGAGTGGACCTAATGTATATAAAGAGAGAGAGATTAGGTTCAACAGACTAAAGAGTGGGCTGGAACTAAGAGGATAGTAGGCTCAGCAGGCTAAGAAGTGGGCCGGGCAAAGTTTGTAGCTCAATGGGCTGAATAAAGAGAGAGAAGCACAGCGCAACTCCATAGGTTGAGTTGAGGGAGAGAAGCATCAGAGCAATAGAACTAGAAGAGAGAATGCGGCTCACCAAAGTTTGGCTATGATACCATGTAAAGAAATCGACCTTGGGCCTGAGTCAATCTAAAAAGCTAGCTCATGAGGTAGGATTGCCGAAAACCTTATAAGGAGACAAACGACCTATACTTCCACCAATATGAGACACTTAAACCCCCACACGCCTAATCCTGCCAATTGGAGCATGGACAACATAATATGGGGTTCCAACATTGAGACACACAATAACTGGATTGAGCTTGGCGCCGATATCAAGTTGAAATGTCTGACCATCTCATCTAAAAACTTGAGCTTTTAGAGAGTGCACACTCTTAATTTACTTAAATATGTCTTCAACACATCCCCTTACGTGCATGCCTGATTGTTTTTCATAGCGCAAGCACGTAAAAATTCTTTTCAATAATGGGTGACGGTGAAACTTGAACAACCTGTGCCTGCCTGGTACTATTTTGAAAGAATCTGGGCATCCAACCAAAAACCTTCAGGCAATGAGTGAAGTGGCCTAGGACTTTATGTTTCCTTTGGAAATCCTTACATAACCACGAGGACAAGTGTATTCTCTTACACAGGATATTTAGAGCCTTCAAATTGAATTGTGAAATTTCAGAAGCTCTTCTTCTGTACAACTTACTCATACACAGAGGCTCTGTGAGACACATACTATAGTATGCATGTCAAAATGTCATCTATGTATTTTATTTAACATCAAAGCAACTGCTCCAATTCATCTGGTGTCATGGTTTCTTGTAAGAGGGCGGACTCTGCTTAGATCTTTTCCCTTTTCTTCAGTTGTAGGCTTGTAGCAATGATCTTTCTTTAGAATGACAACCAATGTGTTATGTTATATCTAATGTTACTCATCCATGACTAGAGAGAATACAAATCATTGGAAGATTAAGGTTATCAACTCAACTGAACAGAGAATTGATGGTTTCTGCCCTCTCACTCCGAAGGAGGTTGGATTATTTCTTCAGGCTCTTGGTTATCCTCCGTCAACATTGATTTATATTGCTGCTGGAGAAATTTATGGTGGTAACACTCACCTCTCAGAGCTCACATCTCGCTTTCCTAATGTTATTTTCAAGGTTTGCACCTGCACCTTATCATTCTGGCAGTCATGCAGCTCGAAGTTAATTTCTTTCACAAATAGTGTATTCTACCTACCAAACCAAATGTCTTACTGATGGCAGGAAATGCTGGCAACGCCGGAAGAACTGAGAGGGTTTGCCAATCATGCCTCACAAACTGCAGCACTCGATTATCTCATCTCTGTGGAGAGTGACGTTTTCATTCCATCACACTCAGGTAATATGGCAAGAGCAGTTGAGGGGCACCGCAGATTCTTAGGCCACCGAAAAACAATCACTCCTGACAGGTACTCAATTAATTAATGAAATATTGCTGTTGCTTTTGGTTGGTATAGAGTTTCAGTTCGTGTGGTTTGCAAGTGAAGTTTTTGTTTGATATTATCAATTTTAGAAGGGTGATTTTTCAAGTTTTCTTTTAGCACTGCTAAGCTTGGAATTTTTCTTTATTGAGGTGTTACCAGTGCCTTCATTTAGGGCACAAATCAACCATTCTTTTATATTTTAATGCTTCACAAAGAGGCTATGAGTACATGGGATAGAAATAGCTGAAAAGTTCACCTACAAATCAGGGAGTGCTATGGTAAGATGAAAGTTCATCTTGACTGGCATGTTGGAGGTGCTGTTGGGGAAACAGCTTAGCATTCTTATGGGGAAGAGTCATATAGAAGTCCTTAAAACTTTGAAATTGCGCATGTTGGATCAAGTTTTGTGGCCTTGGACTCTTCATCTACATATTAAAAGCAACGTAATTATCTGCTAAATTATGCAGGAAAGGCTTAGTTGAAATATTTGATAAGCTGGAAGCTGGTCAGCTCGAAGGACCATCATTTTCACATCTTGTCAAGCATTTGCATAAGAACAGGTGATAATACATACGCAATGGATACCCACCTTATCGCTTGCACTTGTTCACGTTATCTGTCGAAATTTTTTTCTCTCTGTTTCTGTTACTTGGATGCAACAATGGGCCCTGGGAGTAATAACTTCAGGAATTGAACCAAGGGACTTTACTCTGGCATTGGCTGCTACTAGATTCCTGGTTAAAGAATAATTTTATGTTGGAGATATATAACCTCCCACATCGACTGTACAAGAGCTTCTAAGGGGTTAATAATGGTCAAAACTCAGATTCTTTTACATAATATGAGCACCAAAATTTGGTAAGCTCGTTCTCTCAAGTATAGGTCCTAGAAAACTTGGATTTTTTTCACATTGTATGAGCACCAAAATTCGGTAAGTTCGTTCTCTCACGTATAGCTCCTCTCTCATAATCATTTTCTTTGCACTCTGACCAGTTGTTTGTTGTTCTCTTTATTTTATTGCTTTGGACTTCTCTCTCTCTCTCTCTCTCTCTCTCTTAGTATTCTTATATTAATATCTTCATGTGGATTAACTAAAGAAATGATACTAGTGTTAAGTGGAAAAAAGAGAGACGATTAGTACCTAGGAAAGTTCTTACTTCAGATCCTATGAAAACGAGGAAGTAAATAAGAAAGAAATTAGCTCTGATGAAGAGAATCATTTTAGTTATCATTCTTTAGCTTTTTGAAATCAATAAACAAAATAGTATTAATTAAAAGCGAGTAGATTGAATTGGGAACTATGTTAATCCAATAAAAACTCCATTGACATCCATTAAAAAGCTTCAAAGCTGTGAATTCAAAAATGAAATCTTATGAGGAAGGACCGCACCTCAAGGGATGTAATCTAGACAGCCTAACCTAATACAAGTACCAGATTTACCTAAGAGACTATTAAATTTGTTTGACTGTAAATACTTAATTTAATGGAGCCTTATGAATTATATTGGACATAAATCTCCTGGTTAAAACCAAATCTTTTGACTCATGAGGAATGATGTTGTTATCATTATTAATGTTATCATTGTCACCACCTTGGCACCATCGTTGTTATCGTCCCTAGACATTGTATGCGATCAAGATTTTGTTAGTTTGGCCAATAATTTAATAACCAATTTGTTCAAAGCCAAGAGTTTTCAATAGTTTAAGAAATTTCCAAAATTGGTTGGTACAAGAATCTGCATTAGATACTATAAATAAATTAGCAGTTTAACAGGAGAAGATCAGTTTTTGGGCATTATTACTACCTGATGTCTGCAATTTTGCAGCAATAATTAAGAAGTCTTTTTGGGGATAAAACACAAACCAATCAAACGGAGGTTTCAAGAAAAAATTAAAAACTATAAGTAGCTAATAAGTATTAAGTATTGAAAATTATTTTTAATAAATAAGTGATGAGAATGTGTCGATAAACAATTTATCTGCTAAAATGACTAATGTGTCCTTAAAATTATTTACAAAATTATAAATTAAAACATAAATGTACAAAGAGAAGAATGAACAATGAAAATCAACAGTCAGGAGTTTTATTTTGGCCAAGAGTATTTTGATACTTAGGAAAGAATATTAAGGATAAAGTAGTAGTAATATTTTGCCAAATCAAAAGTACTTAATTATAAGCTGATAAGTTGGAGGTAACCGACTGATAATTTTTGACTAATTTTAGCTTATAAACACTTTGATATATGTGAAACACGTAGATAAATTAAAAATTTCTTATAAGCAAATCTGATTATTTTTAACAACTAGAAGATGTTATTGTAGAGATTCTCCCAACTATATTAATTAATTGAGCTTTTCTTATTTCTAGTTAGTTTGACTATTGACAGTCTGTAGTAAACATGGATCCACGTCCTTTACGTTGAATGCATGCATGTATACAAGAAGAAAATGCTGCTTAGGGCAACATGTTAGTGACATTTAATTTGATATTTCTTTCTTTTTGTGATTAAATAATGATTCAAGACGAAGGCACTGAGCTACTAAGGAACAACAGACTTAATTAAGGAAGTCAATTCTCGTTTCTTGGATCAATCTATGAACAAATCAAAATAAGTTCGTCACTTTTTTTTTCACGTACACTGAGTGAAATATATATNTAGAAAAAGGAAAGAAATTGTGTATTTTAAATTCCACCGCCAAAAGGTTTTACTTTAAGAACTTAGTGGTTTTAGTTACTCGTTGCTTAAGTTAGCCCCAACAGAAATAAAGTTTGACTTCGGAATTTAAGTTTTAATTAGTTGTTACTTAACAAAAGGAAATGAGTCCCAACAGAAATAAGGTTTTGCTTTGAAACTTTTAGAGTTTCTATTTCTGGTTAATTAAAGTTATTTCCTCCGTCTCAAATTATCTGTTGTGTTTTCTTAAAATAGTTGTCTCATATTATTTGGCATTTTAGAAGTCCAGGACAGAATAAATTATATTTTTCAGTTTACCCTTAATAATAATTGTTCTTGAAAATGGAGATAACATATAAATAGAATAAATATTCAATGAAGAGAGATTATATCTTATAACATAAAGAAGGATAAAATAGTCCAACCTTCCTCCTAATTAGTATTTCTTAAGAGGTGTGTAAAAGAGAAACACAATAGATAATTTGAGACGGTAGGAGTAAAAAATTGAATCCCAACTTCAAAAAGATTTCCTTGGAACTCTACAAATCGATTGCATTTACAATGTTATTCAAAGGAAAAAAAATCTTCATTTAATAGTAACAGGTGTGGTACAATCAAATAGGTATTTTTCGTCTTCATCCGAATATTGTTATTCAAAAATTGATATATTTTTGTCGCTCAATATTTTGCTTCTATCTATGATTGCTATACCAGCACAAGTTGCTTATTGACTACTCGTACATTCTCTCCCTTAAAAATAAATAACACGGCTAATACGCTAGGTATTTTATCTCCATTAAAATTAAAATTAACCATTAAAAAAACTTTAATTTAAATCCTCGGTCCTAATATCCTAGGTATTTTATCTTCTTGAAAATAAATTAGACATTATTATAACTTTAGTTAAATTCTCAATCCTACATTCAATTCTCTCCTTGTCCGCTCATAAAGTCGGTATTTTATACCCTTTGAAGCTACATTGCTCCTAATAATGGGCGATTCAAACGCTATATAAACTAAAAGATGGAAAAGTTAATTGGAACTCATAAACCAATTTGAATAGAATTCCTAAACACGCTCTTTCTCCTAAATCAAACTAAATTCAAAACAAAAGGAAAATAATAATATTACTATTATATCCAATAGTATAGTTATATTTTAGGGCTATTTTGGTCTTCCATCGTCGTATTCATGCTTTTATAATAATATAGATAGATATAATAACACTTGTATTTACCGTACCAAAGATTAGACAACTGCACGATCATATTGGAGAATGAGAACAAGCATTCTCTTTCCAATAGTATAAGTTCAGCGATGTGATTTACTATCTTCAGACTCTAAATGGTACAAAATTAGGGTTTATATCTTCAGGTATCGACCGTTGAGGCGGGAACTTGGGAAGGAGTTCAGCAATGCGCTTGGCTGTCTCAAGGTACTTTACATACCTGCAAATTAGGCCTTCTTTTGTGATGCCTTCTCCATGGTTGTTGTCTTTCGTGTTGTGGGAATCTAGGTTCAATCCCTTCATTGGCGAGCCACAAAAATGGCAATTTTGATCTTTCCCAATGAGTGCCTCCTCGAAAGCCTTTTTTTTGAAAGTCCAAGCACCACTCTTCCAGTTGAAATGGTAAATTGGAAGGTACCTTTGTCCATAAATGGCTATGAATTCTATTGCTGCTATTATGAACTCAAATTCTTCCTTGGACATGTAGTAGGGAAAACTGACCCTTGTCCATCCTGGCTTCACTCCAGTATAGCCCTGTTAAATGTCAAATAAATACTGAATGTCTAAAACCTTGAAGTTCAATTATAGTGTACCCAACAATCTACTAACCAAATATGCCCTCCATATAGAGATGGAATTTAGAAAACTTAGTGAACTTCCTAAGATGCATATGTGTAAAGTGTAGACTCACCAACTCGATTGCAGCTTTTAAGGCAAGTGACTGAGGCTCATCAATCTTGAGTAAGGTATGTCCATAGGGTCCTGCACAAGCACACCCTCCTCTAGCCTGGATACCAAATAAGTCATTAAGCAGTTTAGCGACAAAACTGCCATGAAGAGGCTTATCTTTCTTGTTCCCCGTCTCTCTCCATAGGTAAAGCTTGTTGTTTTCACCACTGTTATCACTTGATGAAGAGTGAGTTGTGGTATAAATGAGAAAAGAAAGCACAGCTTGTCTCTTGGCTGTTACATTTCCCAAAACCCGTATGTTAGGGTTCAGGAGAAGCCTTTCTAGTGCAAGTTGAATGTAGCTGTGCTCCATTCTTTCAATTACTTTGTGACTTATGAACTCTTTCACCCAAAATGCTAGAGCTGTTCTCACTTTCTGGATGATTGGTGGTGTTCCAGCCTCTTCCCTTTCTTCAATGTTCTCCACATAGATTGTATCCTGGTAATTGTATCATAAATCAAGTAACTATCCTTAGAGCTGAGCTGAAAAGAGAAGAAAGTAAACAGAAAAGGCAAACATTTTCTGAAGAAAAACAGTTAGATGTGTCAATTAGTTATATAATTTCTCTTCTCCAATATTTTTTTATTGTAACACAGAAAAGTTTACTCTGGTTTATATAATCTAGTTTGATATTTATAGTTTTTGTTCTTTAAAGATTCGGGATGATATGGTATTGCCCCATGCAGAGTGCCTTTTTGTAACTGAGAGAAAGAAAGCAAAAATAGCCCTGAGGGCTTTGGCCTAGTGGGTAAGAGTGTAATACATGATGTATGGGTTAGGCACACGTTATGGATTCGAACCTGCCACATACAAAGTCTTTTATTTAAGTGGAGAAGGGTGTAAAAATAGCATGGGTTGGCCACTTTTTGGGCACAAGTGAAACTATAGAATACTGTCCTGAAGTTCAATTTTTGCAACTTAAAGCTCCAGGACAGTGTCCTCAAATTTTTTCTAGAATACTTTCTGATTGCATCGTTAAAAAGCAATGGCAACAAGCCCTTCAGGTCCTCTCCAACAATGACTTTCATTTAATTCTTTTTGGCTGCTCAATCTTTACATAAAGATCCACGGTTTGTTCCCTTTCTTTTTCTCTTTTTAGTTTTGGGTGTCTTAGTGAAGTATATTATGCTGAAACAATTATCAACTCTGACAAATGAGAATGCACCCATTTGGGTATTTCACCTGCAGCCACTTATTTGGTTTTGTCATCCCAGCTTCTTTTGCTCATTGCAGCTAACTCACTTTATAGTAGCATCATTGTGCTTCCGTTTCAGTGCTATCTGCAGCCTTAGCATCTTAGTCTAAAGCAACTCTGATGGACTGAGGAAAGCTTGTTCTTCAGCTTCGAAAGTTTCCTTGAGTTTTAAGTTACAAAACTGAACTCTAGGATAATGTCCCTTTTTAGCTTGTTCTTCAGTTTCTAACTCCAGCACAATGTCCTGGAGTTTTAAGATACAAAACCTGAACTCCTGGACAGTGTCCTGAAGTTCAAAAAAAGCGAAATAGATGAAGAAGCGAGTCTGCTGCTTTAAGTTGGGGGTAATTATTATTCCAAATATTATTTTCCCAATAAAAATGGCTAAATTTCGGCTAGTTTTGGAAATGTGGCTTATTTCAAATAGCAGTTGTAAAAGTGGCTATTTGTGATTTTTTCTCGAGAAGGGTAGATGGGCAATCCATTATTTATCAAGTTTTGGACGAAGTAATTATGCGGGGAAGATAGTTTTATAGCGCTATTTAAGGCGTATCCACTTTTAAAAAGACATACCTTTTCATAAAAGGGGTTGACAAAATCAACAGTTCCACCACCACAAGTTGATGGAGGTGAAGTTCTCAACTGATAGAGTGCCTTGTTCATTAAAAGGATTCCCGGTGTCCCTGGCCCTCCAAGAAACTTGTGGGGACTAAGGAAAACAGCATCATACCCATCTATTTCACCTGATCTCATGTCTATTTTTGCATAAGGGGCACTGCAAGATGAGAACAAATGGTTAAAGAATATATACCCTAAACTGGAAACATGTAGAAATAGGACAAGTAGGATTTAAGTTGCATACAGTAAACCAAAAATATAGTTTAACCTATGATAGCAGGTGGATTCGCATCTCTTACAACTAACACAGTCCTCTATTCGTGGAGCAGAAGCAATTTGTTTAGCCTTACAACCGTCCCAAGATATGATTTCTTATACATCCGTGGAGCAGGCTCAGACACATTGAGATCTTGGTGGAATTGCTACGTATGAAATTGAGCATAGTTTTGCAAAGAAATAGCCTACTTTTTCCCCCCAGAAGATATGGGAAACATGCTCAGTATCATTTGATTGAATCATTGACCCTACCCCTTGTTGTTTGAAGAAACCCTCTACTTCAATTGGTATTCGATTTTCTTTAATCAGGTTGCGAAGTAATGTTTTATCATAAAGATTTAATTATAGTTATGTTATAAGGGGTTAGTTCTATACACTGACGGTGTTACATACCTTGCGGCGAAATCAAAGCAAGCATAAGCTCCATTTTTGTGAAGAAGACGAGCGATGGCTCTCGTATCAGAGTAAGTTCCAGTGACATTACTACAGGCTGAGAATGAACCCAACAATGGCCTATTCATAGACTTGTAGAACTCAAGCTGAACTCTCAAAGCTTCCATATCCACAAGGCCATTTTCATCCAAACCAATCTCCACAACCTCTGCTAAACTTTGTCTCCACGAAAGGATGTTAGAGTGATGCTCATAGGGGCCAACAAATACTACCCATCTTTCTTTTGTTTCATTTCCGAAGCATTTTGTGAGTACCTTTTCTCTTAGGATTGAAGGGACTGATATCCCCATGACTTCTTGGAGCCTTTTAATGGCTGCAGTTGAACCAGAACCACAAAATATGATAGCATCTTCTTCTCCTCCCCCCAAGCATTTCTTCACGTAGGCTGCTGCTTCGTTCACTATTTTCGTGGTTTGGTATCCCACATAACTGTCACTGGTATGACTGTTACCTTTACAAAATAAAATCAGAAGTTAAATTACACTACTGACAGTGTAAAATTTTTGGGGTATATATAGAAAGAACCAAGGGAAACATACCATAGAAAGGAAGGACGTTATTAGTGATATAATTTTCAATATAGTGAAGGCATCTTCCAGAAGCAGTATGATCAGCATAAGTAAGCCTACGTTTTCCAAAGGGTGTCTCAAAATCGATATTTTCACCAATTATCTGAGAACGCAGCCATGAAAGTTTCTTTTCTGCAGAATCACTCTTGGAAACACCATCCTTTCCTAGCATGTGAAATGACTTAATTCTACTCCTCAAGTCCTCTGGAGAAGTAACAGACGAAGAACTAGTACTAGAATATTTAAATGGTATAACGTCAGATATTTTTACGCTATTAGGTCATTCAAAACTATCTAGAAGTAATAATTCATAAATTATAATGTTGAAATTAAGACAGATCATCTGCTACTATAAATAAACGTGATATGATAATGTAAAAATTCTTTGTATTATAGTGAATATTAATTTAATTCTTTCGAGATAAATTTTTAATAAAAGATTTTAACTTATATACAAGAAGAGTAAAAAAATTTTGTACTATCAGTTTATCCAAAAAGTAGACTAATACTACCTTTGTCTTGCTATATTTGGGGAGAAATTCAAAAATAGTCAGATTTACAAGTGGTTATTCAAGAATAGCCACAGTTTCAAAAGTAATCGAAATTTAGCCACTTTTCATGTAAAGATAAATCTGAACAAAAATATTGTTCAAAATACGAAAAATATTCCAATATATTATACTAGAGTTCCAGCATAAGTATACTGGAACTCCAGTATATTATAATGGAGTTCCAGCATATGTATACTGGAACTCCAGCATATTATAATGGAGTTCCAGCATAAGTATACTGGAGTTCCAGTATAATATATCGGTTCAGCATAATATGCTGGAAGTTCATACACGGGTGCACCGATCTCCAGTATAATATGCTGGACCGGTCCCTGTTAGGCGTGTTCAAAACCGAACCGAAATCGAAAATCGAACCAGAACCGAAGCTTAATGGCTTATTAGTATCGGGTTAACGGTTTAATGGAAGGGGAACAGATTGAATTTTTTTTATTAACGGCTTATCGGTTTGGGGGCGGATTATTCAATTTTCTTAATGGATAATCCGTTAACCCGTTAAGAATATATATATACATAAAATTTTTATTTTTATCTATATATATATATATATATATATATATATATATATATATATATATATATATATATATATATATATATATAATAATCAAAAACCCTTCTTCCACTTCCAGTACTCTATCTCTATTCTCTATAACTAATTTACTATTAGACAAATTTTAGTTGCATGCTTCGCGCATTCTTTTCAATCCTATCAAACCAAAAGTAATTTACTTGATTACTTCACGTATTGTTACCACCTTCAGTAGGTGCAGTGGAAGTACCAAAACTTAACAAACAAGAGATAGTTTAACGAGTAGAATCTGCTATTAAATTGGGTTTAACACATACATCTGCAGGTTTGCTTGCATGTAAAAGAAAAAAAACGTCAGTCTGCACACATTTCGGCAGGTGTTTTTGGATTGTTTAGAAATTAGAGCGACATCTAAAGAAAATTGGAGCAGTTATAAAACAAGAGCAAGAAATCCCATTCTTTGACCAACATCAGTATACATTTGAAGCACGGCGAAGCAAATTTTGGACCCTCGTTAAATTTGGTAAATTGCGTCATGTGCAATATATATTGAATTAGGCCGATAAACCGCCTGATAACCGCCCGATAAGAGCTAAACCGATACGAATCCGCCCGATATCTTATCGGGTGACTAGCGAATTAATACATCTAAAAGTTGATAACCGATAAGCCAAACCGTTAAGAGTAAATAACCGCCCAACCCGCCCGATAAGCAGCCCTAGTTCCTGTTGCAGCAAAATAGTGGCTATTTTTCAATGACTTTGCAAACGCTGGCTATTTTTGAATGACCGGTCCGAAAACTGGCTAGCCCGTGCTATTTTTACCTATATTTGCCACTTGGTGTTTTTCTAGATTCAAGTATGAAAGATTTGAGTTTTGACCACGTGTTGCTTAACAATAAGGATATTATAACTTACAACACTCGTCGTGTAATTTTAGAATATGTGAAATTTTAACTAAAAAAAGTTAATTAATATAGTTTTACATAGCTGCGAAAATTAATCTTCATAAGCAATAATGCTCTTTTATCTATTACTCTTATTTCACCTTCTATCGATAAAATTTCAAGAATTAAATCTAACATGAGAGTGATCAAAAAGTTAAACTATATATATGGCTACATCTTAAAAATGCTATTTGATTACTATTTTAAAACAATCTAAGTATTATTGACAAGTTTGGAATATGTTAAAAGTACGTAAATCTTGCTTCCTAAGTTTAGACGGCTTTTGTTCGTGTTGTACCCATATTGATTAATGCGAAACAGTAGGAACAATTATGTCCATTTTCCTTTTCATGGGCTACTCACCCCATTTCTACTCAACTTTCCCTTTATAACTAAAAGACAATGAACTATATTCTTGAAAGGGAAAGAAACAAAAGAATATTATTACTTACTTTTGATCTGTTGGCTGTACTTTGTATTAATACTTCGCCAATGATAAGAAGGCACTTAATCTTTGAATTGACCACTCTTAGTAGAATGATCAAAATCTCACTCTAAGAGCAACTGAATTTTCAATTGAGAAAAAGGAGGAGATCTGCAGCTTCAACATCTTGCCATGAACACAGAGAAGAAAAACTATATATATTGAGAATTTAGACATGGGCACCTTTTTTTTCTTCTTTTAATAATTGAAATTAATATGTGGGGTCCATCCATTGTAGAGCAAAATAAATATGGCTGTGCCTATGATTTTTGCTGATCTAAGTTCTGTGGACAAAATTGATCTTTGTTGGCCAAGGAATGAAATATGTGGTTGGAGGCCACGACTGCTATAAATAGAGGAGGTTTCTCTTCAGTTGATGCTTAGATGATTAGATAAAAAATAAAGAGTGTAAGCTATTGTAACGATCCGGCCGGTCGTTTCATGAGTTACCGCTTCGTTTTCCCATTTTTTGCTTCTTTATGTCTTGTTCAGTTGTATTATGTGGTATCGGATTGGTTGGTTCGGGTTCGCAATGGTTTGGTAGAGTAATGAGATACTTAGTCTCTTAAGTTGGCCTTTTAGTTGGAAAAGTCAACCGGAAGTTGACTTGTGAGTAAACGATCTCGGAATTTGGTTTTTATGATTCGGATAGCTTCGTGAGGTGATTTGGGACTTAGGAGTGTGATCGGAATGTATTTTGGAGGTCCGGGGTAGATTTAGGCTTGAATTGGCGAAATTGGAATTTTGGCGCTTTCCGGTTGGTAGTGGAGATTTTGATATAGAGGTCGAAATGGAATTCCGGAAATTGGAGTAGGTCCGTTGTGTCATTTGGGACGTGTGTGCAAAATTTCAGGTCATTCGAACGAGACTTTTTGATCAAAAGCGGAATTCAGAAGTTTTTGGAATCCTTAGGCTTGAATCCGATGGTGATTTGGTGTTCCAGCGTTGTTTTGAGTGTATCGAGAGTTGGTACAAGTTTGAATAGTGGTATGTGACTTGTTGGCGTGGTTGGTTGAGGTCCCGAGGGCCTCGGGATGGATTTGGATGGTTGATGGAGAGTTTGGATTTTTGGAGTGGGCGACGCCGCAGATGCGGAGAAGAGCTTTTTGGGAGATTTTGGGAGATTTTGAAGCTTTTCTTCACCATTTTTAAGTCGGATTGAGAGCTTTTTGGGAGATTTTGAAGAGAGAATTCAAGGGAACTTCGTGGAGGTAAGATTCTTGGAACTAAAACTCATTTCTATGGTGTTATTTCACTGATTAGGCTTGAAATTTATGGAAATTAGTGGTTAAAATAGAAGAACTAGGGCTTGAAATTGGAGACCTTTGATTAGGGATTTGAGGGGTCGTTTGTGGTCGGATTTTGGTATATTTGATATGTACGAACTCGTAAAAATGTAAGGATTCTATTGTTGTGACTTTTAATGGATTTCGAGACGTGGTCACGGGGGTCGGGTTTGGTCAATTTCGGGATTCTTGGTGTAAATTGGTTATTTTCGAGTGGGTTTTGTTCCTTTAGCGTATATTGATGAGTATATTCTGGTTTTGGATAGATTTGGAGCATTCGGAGTTCAATTCGAGAGGCAAAAGCATCGCGGGCTAGAGTTTAGATCGGATAAAGGTAAGTAATGATTGTAAATGTTGTCATGAGGGTATGAAACCCCGGATTTCACATCGTTGTGCTATTTTAAGGCGACGCACAAGCTAGATGACGAGCGTGGGGTCGTGCACCATTGGGGATTGTGACTTGGTCCGTCTCGTACGACTGTTAAGTCGCGTATTTGGTTGAACACTGTCTAATATTATTGTGTTTTGAAAAATATTACTATGTTTAGGGCTAAATGCCGTGTTTGGGCCTTGTGCCGATTGTTTGGACCCTTAGGGGCTTTTTACTACTGTTTCCTTACTGTTTTGGTAATATTTACACTCAGTTATGCTATACTTTCACTGATTTCATAACTCGGGTTTTGTTTACTCCTTTTATTGTTATAAATGATATTTTGAGCTGAGTACTTGTTTTACTGTTTGCCCGAGAGGCTTGAGTGAGTTTTGACTGAGTGAGGCCGAGGACCTGTGTTGTGAGGATGTTATGGGATCGGGCTGCGTGCCGCAGCGTGTTACACTGATTTGTGATATATGAGAGGCCGAGGGCCTGATTTCTTATGCCACGAGATGGCTTGTGATAGCGCTTGGGCTGTAGGAGCCCCTCCAGAGTCTATACATCCCCAGTGAGCGCGGGTACCCAGTGTGATATGATATTGCCCGAGGGGCTGTTGTTGTTACATATTGTTGCCCGAGGGGCTGATACAAGTGATTGTGAGGTAGCCCCGGGGGCTGGTTCTGTTGATATTATGCCCGAGGGGCGGTTCATGGTATTTGTTTTGCCCAAGGGGCTACTTACTTTTCTATCCTTTTTCTCACTGTTTTCATCACTCGTTTGAAACTATTGAAAAATGTTTTAAAAGGTTTTACTGAATTGAGTTGTCTTTTACTAGTTTTATTGTGTTACTGCATTGTTCTGGACTTATACTGTTTGTTGTAGCGTTATGACGTGGTTTACGTATTTTTTTACTATTCAGTTGCCTTTACTGTTATTACTTATTGCGTTGGCGTACTCACATTTCTCCCTGCACCTTGTGTGCATATCCAGGAGCCTCAGGTCGCGATAGTGAGTGCTGATTTGCTTTCCAGCGGATC